AATGTTCTACCTGTGGTTGTGCACTGTGTAGTAGATGGACAAAATGGCTTTAATGCAATCTTATGTTTATGCTCAACTGTGCTGTAAAAGGACCCCTTTTAGCTGGTATGCTGTATTTAATAATTGTTCAACAAGTCAGCATTTTGTAGAATATGCTTGAACCTGATAATTGTCGTTTTCTTTGACTATCTAATTATTAGAACACCTAAATACATTGCTTGTAAATAGTGTTTGCTTCAGCCAGTTGAAGCCTTCAGGTACAGTACAGTATGTGTGCACATGATCAGCATGGTACCACCAGGAAAAACCCATTTATATGTATATGTATATATAATCTCACTGACCCCAAACATTTGAACAGTAGTGTACCTACAGACCTACAAGACTAATAAAGTGGTAAATTCTCTGTAAAATACAGCCTCGTCTGGGTTATTGTTTTACAACAACAGCAATATGACTAAAGACACCAATGACCAAGAAATATTCAAATAATGTCCTTGAACATGACTCATCCAATTCAATTTCAGAGCAGAGCATTCTTATAAAACTCAACCAATTAAAAAAAGCAGGCAATACAAAAATCAGAACCATACCATTTTTGCTAACAATTCTTTGCATATACGCATATGGTAATAATATTGTTAATGCAAACCAATTCATTCAAATTCAATCCGGTGTTTCAGTCTGTTTGTACTGGTATAAAACGGATGCTGGTGAGTCAGACTCATCACTTACCAGCGCTTCTCTTGGAGGCACATCTTCTCTGGCCGGAGCAGCGTTCTGAAAGAGAACAGCAGCCTTGTGTTACAGCGCCATTTAGTGGCAGAATTTATGACATTTGATTCTATTATATTACAGTACAGAATTTGACACTACATGACAGCTCTAACCAAAGAAATTTCAGCAAGGATGTATAAAATCAATCAAAAGTGACAGAGTAAACATTTATAATGTTTAACCTCAAGTTCCACTAACCCTGACTGTCTATACACTGTAATATGATTCTTGATGGACTTTAGAGTTTACTGCATTGCTGATTGCCGTTTAGTGCCATTAATACTCCTGCCTTTATCATCATTGTGCAATTGCACCAGGCTTGGAGTCTCTTCACTGTTTTGGTTCTGATAAGTGCATGATACCATTTGTTAGATCCACTTTAGAGCACTAAGTAAGCCTGCAAGGTTCCAATTAGGATATTAATTTACTAATTAGCCATTCAGTTGACTCTTTTAAGAAAAACTGACTTACTGTAAAAGTAGTAGTCTTCTGAAAGCGTTAGGCTCAAGGACACAGTAGTAACAGTTTATATATCAGTGTTGTAAATTTTGGGGTCAGATTATCTCTGTTTTTGAAACAAGATTCTTTTGTTCAACAAGACTGCATTTATCTGATAAAAACAGAAAAATATTGCAATTATTATATAATTATTGAAATATTTTAATAATTCAAAATAATTGTTCTCCATTTTTATATATTTTTCATTTTTTGTGTAAAAGCTCTAATTTTAGTGTCTATGCTATAACATCTGCTATGTAAGAGCTGCAGATTTTCAAAATCTGATTGTAACTAAAGGCATTTCATTACTCCCAAAACTAGGCCAGATATCAGCACACTGAACTTCTTATCTAGGCTGGTTTACACTCTCTAACAAACGGCAACATTGCAAACATTCTGAAGCTGGCAACAGATTTTTTTATGTTAAGAATTATAACGGTCATTTTCACACTGCGCAAACACACACCAACAGGGTTGACACACTGATTGCAACCGTTCTTAACTTCAGAATACAGGCCAGGCATCCTCAACACACTTCCAAAAAAACAGATTAAAAATAAGCATATCTGAAACAGTCATAGCATTCATAGGTTTCCTATGCAAGTACTTATGACAAACTTATGTTTCCATTAACAGTATTCAACAGAGAAAAAAGCACAGGAATTATCATGCGAGCGAGATTCACATCCTAACCTTAAAGCTGAGACGTTAAATTAATTACAAGAACATTTAGCTAAGAAGATTGCAAGCCCAAAAATGAAAAGTCTGTCATTAGTTGAAGAAAAAAAAATCATGGGAAAAATATGCATTGGAAATGAATAGTGATTGAGGATCACATCAGTTCTTGTGTCCCAATTAAAATATAATGAAAGACTGTTATCCCTTTAATTCATTGTTGATTTATATAGAATATTTTAAGTTGTAATAATTAAAAGTACTTTAAATAAATTAAAGAAAAATATAAGAGCATGAATCAGGTTTAAAATTTTAGAAGACAAAGGTGAGTAAAAAAATTTAAGTAATAGAGTTTAATTAAGTAGGCTATTAACAAAAATGAATATGATCAACTTTAAAATAAAATGCATGAAATATTGTCAATTAATCTAATTTATAAATATATTTTTATTATAAACTATTACAAATATAAAACATATAAGCACACAGCCTGAAACAAATGTGAGACGTCATGTTCTTATACTACGGTAATTCAGTTAAGAATGCAATTCAAATGAATGTTTACATCCTTTGATTTTATTTTTTTTTTCCATTACTGATTTTGCATCAACCCTGAATCTGTTAAAGTATCATATCTCTCTAACATAGCCTACCTTTATTTTTCAAAATGCAGGTTTGGAACTAGATGAATGTGGGTAAATGATGACAGGGTGAACTATCCCTTTAATTCTTTGCTGATACATTTCATAAATGATGCTTGTATGTCGGCTGTAAACAGATCAAACTGAGACAGATGAGCACATGGAGAGATGAATGTGTCATGTTTTCAGGGTCAACGACCCTGACTGAATTTTACTGTATACTTGTCTATATAGCACTTATATTATTTCACAGAGACTGACACATTAATATCTGCAGAGGAATCTCCTGTATGCGTATTCTCTGCGGCCTGCACCTGTCACACACATCTGTCTAACTGCATGGGTTGAGACAGTGAACAGGGCGCTAGCAAATCAGCTAAAACTTTTCCAAAGCAACATGGGACTGCCAGATTATGAGCTTATCAACAATTAAAGCGTGACAAATAGTGCATTTACTGTGCAGGTCCACGGCGGAAAAATCAAATGCATGTTGTTAGCTGGTTGAACGTTATCAGCTACCTGATTTTGGTGGTCAGGTTGGTCCGGGGATGCCATCTTCTCAGAGCTGTTAGCCAGAAGGCTAATGACGCTAACCCTCCACCGGTGCTCGATTACTTCGGTCTGAAGTCTGAACTAGTCATACGAAGTTCGAGTCATTTGCATTGATCGGTTCTTTTGAACTGTTCGTTTCAAAGAACGCGTTCAAAGTGAATATTACAGTTTTGTTCTTGATTGCTAACACACTATAACTGATTCATTTGGCACAGTTTTCCAAACCAGTCACACAGTTCTCAAAACAAAGACACGTTTCTCAAAACTTTTAACACATTTCACCTGCTTTCACACATGTTCCAATTTGCTCAGTGTTTTCTGCAAAACTCTACAGCATCATTTTGCACAGGTTTTACCATGTTCTCATTTAGAAAACACAAACACACAATATAACTACCTCAAGAATCACAAAATGAACACAAATAGCACACATTTATCCATGTGTGAACATTAGTTTTTTTTTAAAAAAAAGCTAAAACACATTTCTTGAAACCATCGCTCATTTTCTCAAAACCTTAAGCACAAATCCAAATACTCAAACTGAATTCACGAAACCTCTGACTCTTCCATCAAAATCAAACAATCACTGCAAAACCCTTTCACTTGCACTCAAAATCAAACAGTGCTCTCAGATCACACACACGAGACAATGAAATAAACACTGCAGAGCATTCATTAGACACTAAAGAGAAAAATGGAGAAGACTGCTTCCAGAGCATTACAGAAAAAAGTACATTGTATTGAGTAAACAATTTTGCAATTCTGTAAAAAATTATAGTAATTACAACTGAGTAAGGTGAATATATTGTACAGGCCTACTGTATGTACGGCAAGAATAGTATTGTGCTGAATATTGAATAGTACTGAATGTTTATATATATTTAGCACTTGGATGCTGCAAAAATAATGCAGTCCAACTGCAAAGGCCAAAAAGGTCAAATAAAACAAAAAATGAATAGCATGTTACAGTACACTCAAATACTGTAAGTTGTCTTTGTGCTTGAGTCCGGCATGAGAACTTTGTCCACATCACAAGTAATGTTGTCTTTTTTGATAGACAAAGAGAAAAAAAAAACCTCCAGCCTTGATAACCCTCTTTCTCTCCTCATCCTCTTCCTCCTCATCCATCCTCCACTTCTTACATGTACTCTTGCTCCTCTCCTTCTCAGATTGTTTCCATCTATTGTTCGTATCATCATTCAGTCTCCTGTGCGACTTGTGCACTCTGAACTGCCTCATATTTTGTACAGTTGGTTTGATCACATCATTAGAAACAAGTGTGAACAATTTTGAATCGTTGTGTGTAAACGATGACAACTGTGCTTTAGTTGTGTTTAACTTTTGCCGCTTGCGTTTAGCATTTTGCAGCTCAAATGCATCACAGTGTGATAAGTGTTTAAGTGAATAAGAATGTGTTCAGAGTTTTGCAGAAAAAGTGCATGAGATTTGCAAATAGAGCCTAACTGACTGAACATGTTCAAAGTTTAGCAGAAAGAGTGCTTTATTCGACAAATTGGTTTAAGCTACTGAGAATTTGGTTCTCTATACAGGAAAGTAGTCTGTGTATTTGTCAGGTTTGTGTGTCATCTGAGGCAAAAGTTTGAGTCTGACAAATGAGAATGTGTTTTTGACTAAAATGTTTGACTTTGACCTGAAAGTTTGAAGTTTGCACAAGTTGGTATGTAGTTTTGAGATTGTGTTAATAGTTGTGAGAAAATGGTGAATTGTTTCATGAATTGTGTGTTAGCAATCGAGAAAAACTGTATTACAGAGCTCGTCCGTTTTTGTGAATCAGTTCAAACGATTCGTTTAAAAGATTCGGATCAAAAGAACGATTCGTTCACATCGCAAGGCCACCGAGCCGTTACAGATTCGATCAGCACATTTCAAAACACGGAAGCCGAAATGTATTTATTTTCAATTTTTTTCTGATACATTGTCAGACAGATGGTGACAATATTACATGTAATGTGATTTATGTGGTTTTAGACACAAAATAACAACCATTAACAAAGTGTGAAGCCTTGAAGATACGAATTCTGAACTTTGAACTGACTATCATCATGGCAGAAGTAAAAGCGTGTAAAGTGTGTAACATTAGCCGACACAAGTATTACGGACTGGCGGTAACCTCTCTAGATCAGCTCAAAATAAAAGGTGGGTGAATACAGCCTGAACTAAGTAAATACCCTTTTTAGATGAAATTCTGAAACAGATTATCTATACTGCACATTTAAAACAGTGGTAATTGAAAATGTTTTACATACAGTAGGCATAATTTAAATTAAAATACGTAGGCTAAGAGTCAAGTTTTAGATTATTTTAGAACATAAAGAGTATAGAAAAATAAGAGTAACAAAAGTTGAATTAATGGATTAAAGTTTTACACATTTTACATTTAAAAATATTTTTAATACGTTTTCAGAATCAGTTGAGGATTGTTTAATTTCTCGTTTCATCCTGTGCTCTTATTTGTCATTTGTCACGTTCTCTTTATTTCTGTCACCCACAGGTGGTGAGGCTCTAGGGTTCAGTCCCAGTGCATCTGTCACAGTGGTGCTAGAAGATGATGGGACAGTTGTAGAAGATGAGGCTTACTTTTTGTGTCTGCCAGAAAATACAAAATTCATGCTGTTGCATGCCGATGAAACATGGATGCATTCTCATCAAGGTGAAATCTAACCAGGATATTCCAGGATGTTTTTTGTATTATTATTTGTTCAGCACACTAATTAATCTAAACTGGTATATTTTGTTAGTTGATGCAGGGGCAGCACAGTCTTGCAGAAAGTCCTCTGATGTTGAGGTAGATGGAAAAGACAATGTTGATGGCTTTGAATCTTGGCACAGTTTGGCAGAGCAGCTCAGACAGGACCTGGCCAGTATTATCCTCATGTCTGAGGCAGATCTACAGGTCTGTGTGATTCTGGCTTGTTATTTTGCAATATCATTTACATGTATGATTATAGTGTATAAATACGCAATGTTTTACTGTGATTTTCAGAGAATAATTGTGTAAATGTGTTACAGAGTCTGATTGATGTGCCGTGCTCAGATCTGGCTGCAGCGTTGGACTTCTCACAGCAAAAAACCCAGGTCCTACAGGACACTCTGCAAAGAATGCTGGACCGCAGGGAAGAAGAGAGACAGTCCAAAGAGTTACTGAGGCTCTATTTGAAAGCCATGGAGCAAGAAGGCACCTGGGACCCACAAGAACAAAGTAGGGATATGTTTCAGATACCAGCAATACAAGAAAAATCTCCAAGTAAAGTCATAGCAGTTATTTAAAGGAATAGTTTCATAGTTTTTTTTCTTTCATTGAACACATTTTTGAGAAATTTAGCTTTACATCTCCTACTCATCAATTGATCCTCTTGTAGTGGATGGGTGCCATCAGAATGAAAGTCCAAACAGCTGATAAAAAACATCACAGCAATCCACAAGCAATCCACATGACTCCAGTCCATAAATGAATGTCTTGTGAAGGCAAAAGCTATGTGTTTGTAAGAAACAAATTCACCAATAGGGCATTTTAACTTTAAAACCATAGTTTCTTGCCAGAATACCAGCCCATAATCCATAATAACATTTCCAACAGTGAAAAATTCCATCCCCTGTTGTTCTCCCATATCAAAATCCACCGACATACTTGTTTAAAATCATTTTGATCTGTGCATGTTCCTCTCCTGAATTAGACGAGAATACTTTTTTTAATAGAGAAAGCAGTTTTATGGATAGAACACTCCTATTTTAGCCAAAAACAGTTTGGAGTTAAAACATCTTAATAATAGATTTTATTACAAACATGCATTTTCAGTTCACAACATGTTAATTGATGGACTGGAATTGTGTGGTTTACTTGTAAATTATTGTGATGTTTTTATCATTACTCTCATTCTGACGGCACCCATTCACTGCAGAGTATCCATTGGTGAGCTAGTGATGTAATGCTAAAGTTTTGGAAATCTGATAAAAAACAAACAAACTCATCTACATCTTGGGTGGCCTGAGGGTGAGTACATTTTCAGCAAATATTAATTTTTGGGTGAACTATTCCTTTACTGTTGCTTTGACTCTGCTTCCACTAGATGGCATCGCTGAACCATTTCTAAATATTGTACCAGTTCATACAAGTTCATTTTATCAGTACTTGGTGGAATGAAGAAAAGTAGCAGCTTGGATGATCAACAGCTTATCTGTTGCTGTGACAGCCCTAATCTTTCCAGTGCTTTCAGGACGTTAACCACTGTCATTGCTGCAGGCGCTAGACTAGATGAGACAGATGGGGTGCAGGTGGAGGCCGCAGCAGGGTTCAGCTCCATAACGCTAATGGTCCTGAAGGAAAAAAAATACCCAGAGACCAGACTGTCCAATGAAGAGCTACAGGTGTGACATCTTACACTGTTCTAACACCTCCCACAATTTCTTAAGAATGGTGTAAAAACCAAGCATTTTAACATTATTTTACACTAGACAGCGGAAGTCAACATGAACATCATTCAAAGCCCATTTTACCTGCGTAAAATGACATTTCAGGGTGTTCAACTGGAAAAAATAAGGCAGGACTTGATTTTATTGGTTTGTGAGAAGTAGATGTTGCATAGGGTTAATTTTGACTGAACTTTCAGTCATATGTCAGTAGGGGTCACTCGCTCTTTTCAGTGGAATGAGCACAAGCCACAAGAGTATGATCAGTCTGTTATCATTTTGTAAAAATTAAGTGATTTTGAAAACCTAATCCTAATATAACTATATTATATAATACAAAGTAATTATGTAATAAAAACAGGTACATTTTTGTGTTTGGATATATTTAAGGGCATATAATTAATGTCTCAAATGGATGCATTTTTATGCAGATGGTGGCGGGGCATGGAGTGGAGGTTATGATGGAGGTGTTGAGCTGGGACAGTGAAAGGACATCAGCGCTGGTCCGGGCATGTGAAAGTGAGCTCAGTAAACGCCTACAGCGAGTTCAAGCCCTGCAATCCCTCAGTTCTCAAAATCAGTCCACTTCACAACCACACACTGAGAGAGAGACCCGAGCCAAACGCCGTAAGACACACACACACTGATAGACCTTTGCTCTTTATTTTTGGACTGCTTCATTACACCTCATCTAAAAAGAAAAATGAATTTAGACAGTGTTTTTCCCATTTTTGGATAGTCATTATTTTGATAGTATATTGTATAGAAATGCCAAAGCATAATAAAAGTCATGTTTTAAGCAAGGAAAACATACAGACTGGTGCTCCTTTTGATTTTTAAAATTCCATGTTTCTTATCTGTTGCCTGTAATTTGACCCATCATTCAGGGGATCAATTGGTGATAATCATATACTACACTCTTAAAAATAAAGGTTCTTTTATTGGCATCAATGGTTCCTTAGATTATTAAAATGTAAGAAAAAATGATTCTTTTAAGATATCATTTATCATAATTGATTGTACCAAATACCTGTAATGTATCCTGACAGATATGACATTTTAAAACCTATTACAAACATTTAATGCTGCTTTATGATATTTCTCAGGGAAGGAATGTGTTACCGTAATATTGCAAGGTTCACTAAATGTCAAATTGGAAATGTTAGCAATTTAGCCCGTGGGGTGCATTTTTTTCACTTGTTGAAATATCGAATGATATATATGATATTGGACTAATAAAAAGATTTTGACATTTAATTTTGGGCATTAATATAAACTGAGTTACATAATGAATGGAAAAAATATTTCAGCTTGTCAGAGAGCATTGAGAATGGTAATGTATGTAGATAAAATGTCCATATGCTGATAAACTAATGAAGAGACCTGCTGGTCTGTTCCTTTGCACCATGAATGTCTTGTTAAAACAATCTATTTCCGTGCGGATGTAGTTCTACCTTAGATTGTAATGAGCATGTGTAAGCTTTGATTGGTGTTGGGCGGGTTTGTGAAGCCAGTCTTTGTGCTGTTTTGTGGCTGTGAAGTACTATTGATTTGAAAATGTTGAATTCTGACCATTGTTAGACTATATGCCAATGATCAGAATATCACTTCAACAGGATGTAGAGATGTTCCTGAGGAATTCATTAGACTGGTATTACGTATGCAGTCCCCAGCTGAACTGTTCTAGTAATGGGTTTCCTGTCTTGAGAGATGATTTTACCCATTTTTCCTCAGTATTGCAATAGTCATGTCTTTATTCTGATCATTTTATCTTATATTTTTGATAAGCGCCCTTTTGGTGTGTGGTAATTATAACAGTAAGTCTGTTGTTCTTTATTATGTGCATGTGAAGTATTTGGAAATAAGCAGCAAGCTGTCTGTGATTGTTGGTATAATGTCAGTTTGCTGGATCAATGCGTGACACTGCGACCAACCTGTCCTCACATCACAGAGCTCTGACCACCAGAAGCAAGCAAATCAACTGTGAATTATGTACTCTCTACTAGACAAGCGTGACCACAGCTTCAACCGGGGTCTGTTGTTGCATGATGGATTGGCTGTGTCATGCAGGGCAAAACCACAGTGCATTGATCATTCACTGACTCCTGCTAGCATACTGAGATCTACAGGTTGATGAATGTCTAGAAAAGAGCAAATGAGAATACAGAATGAGTTGTTGTAAAAAACATGTGTGTGTGTGTGTGTGTGTGTGTGTATACTGTATATATTATTATTATTATTAAAGCCTATATAATACATGAATTTCTAAGGCCTGTAAATATTCATGTCCACCTTCAGGTTGTGGTACACGTCTTTTTGCTGTGAAATCTTTCATAATTTCTTACAAAGCAAACATCATTTTTATATTGTTATTAATACTTCAAGATTTCAACTTAAGTTTACATGATCATTTTTTGGAAAATCATGTTTAAATGTATCAAATATGATACAACATTTTGTCCCCAATCAGTTAAAACTGCAGAGCTTTCATAAAGGCATTTAAATAGCTTACTAAAAATATTATTGGGACAACTAATATTTATATGCATTTTATGTATGTCTGTTACTGTTATTAAGATCTCATTAATTTACATTACAAGCTATCGGAATGTCAGCTTATTTTTGGCCATATAAAAAATACAAAACTATACCAAATTGCATATTTTTCCTTAGGCCTGGTTTTTCCTCCTTGAATGTGAGCTACATTTTTTATTATATCATACCATATATGGGCCTGATGTATCAAATATGATACAAAAAAACAGTTTTTCTTTTGTATTTTGTCTAAAGGTTCAATAAAGTATTACTTTTATTACGATTTTTCAGACTATTGTTTGTCAGGCTTTACAGAGCAAAATATTTTTATATTAGCAACATGAGCAAGAGTATTTTTAATTTGTAAGTATTTTTGAATGGATGACACTTATTGTCACCTTCACTGATATTCTCTGCTCCCTCTTTTAAGTCATTTTATTACAAGCCATGTAAAAATGATCACTTACTAAAGTGAAAGTACACTTCTAATAAACAAGCGATGCTTGGTCATTCATGTCTTTAGTGCACAGTTAAAAAGTTTGTTCAAACCCCAAGCAATACTAATACTGATGCTTGTCTTAACCACCACTGTTGTTTGTGTTAAGTTAGGCATTTAAATGGTACATGTTGGTATGAGATGTTGCTCTGAATGCATGCAGCATTTGCAGTAAACTTTCAGTTGTTTATCTATTCATGCTTCAAGTTCGTGTGATAGGACACACGTTTAAGTAGGCTTGAGAATGATTAGAACTCCACTGGGCCAAAATAGCACTGGAGAGGTAATTACACGGGGCTGGAGAGACCCTAGACGGTCCCCGTTGATAGAAGACAACAAGAGTAACTCTGAGATCAGATGCATAATGCATAAGAACCTAATGACTGTAAATCATGATGTCTGAGCTTACTTGACTTTTAAACAAACACCTCTGCATTGACACCAGTGGCTTTATGAAAATGAGACAAGTAACTCTGGGTAAGTAACTCATTATTTCATTCTTTGACTACAGAAAATAATTATGAATCAATGTAAAATAATTCATAATATAGCATACCCTCTGTTGTCTTTTGTTTTTAGAAAACTACCATAGCTTTCATTAAACTATATTTTATAAAGCAAATTCATTAAGTGACATCTTTCCACTAGAAATTATAGTTCCTGAAAAGTAAACCGACAAATTGCTAATCGAACACTACATTCAGAACCAGAACTATTCAATTAGATTTTTTAAATGTAACTTACTTTAAATGACATTTTGTGATCAAGTGTTTTACGGTATTTCATTTTTGTATATATTTATATATTTTACTGCATTTATTCATTAAAGTTTATATTACATTTTTTACTTCCCCCTCCAAAAAAATCAAAGCAAATAAATGAATAAAAAGATATATATATAGATTAAAACAATTAAAAAATGCCAAAAATTGTGTGCCTCTAGTTTATTTATATAGCACATTTAAAATCAGCAAAGGCCAACCAAAATGCTTCACAAAAAAAGATTAATAAAACATCAACAGAAAAAAATGGTCTAGGACTGTCACATGCAAGGCTGTTATGGTAAAGATAATTTGGTCAATAATAAACTCATATCAAATCAAAGTCAAACATTTCAACACTGTTCAACCGTTTTTGGACATGATTTCTTCAATCCATGAAAGATAATTGCTCACTTTAGTATAAACCCCATAATACCCAGGCTGGGCACATCCGTGACCCCATGACACAATACCACCTATGAACCAACTTTTACTCTGTGTGTCAAAAAACGCATAGGGCCCTCCACTGTCCCCCTGGCAGGAGTCTTTTCCTCCATCAGCAGTCCCAGCACAAATCATGTTCTCTGTCACTACTAGTTTCCCTTTAGCTGTCACTGTGGCGTCATATTTAGCCTTACAGTCCTCAAAATCAGTGACGGGTAGAAGTACGTACTGGAGATTACTGGAATGTAACGCGGGTCTGTTTATATTTGACACACCCCATCCAGACACCTTCCCGACGTCAGTAGCCTTCAAAACAAATTGCTCTTCCCTCCCAGGCAAACACACAGGCATGACAGCTTTACTGACAGGTACCTTATACTCCAGTTTAATCAGAGCAATGTCATGGTTGAAGTTAATATTATCGTGGTGGTACTGAGGGTGAATGAAGATTTTCTGTGGAACGCCAACTATAGCCTCGGTGTCACGTTGTTTGACTATGCCCATGTTCAGCTGCAGGTTGGAAGTATCTGTGAAGCTTTTCAGAACATGAGCAGCAGTGAGGACCCAGTTGTCTGAAACAAGAGAAGCTCCACCGATGAACTGATGGCCCATTCGTAGCATGACCTGCCAGGGAATCTCGTTCTTTTCTGCATTCTCCCCGCCAATCACCTTGGACAGCTTGATCTCAGGCTGGCCACAAACTGAAACACAGCAAACACCAAATCAGTGTTTACACCAGGTTGCTTTTTTTAGTATTCTCACACATTGGACACATCTGCTCATTTTTTAAATTATTGCTATTTTCCACATTTTAGAATAACAGTGAAGCCTACAAACCAATGGTTCTCAACCTTTTTGACATTTTTTAAAGGCCTTATTATGACTTGCCCCAGCTGCTTTACTGGATTTATAAAAATGTAATCACAATTTCTGCAAAATAAAATATTTTAGAGCTTGGCACAGCTACAAAAATGCATATTCATTATAAAAATGCTCATGCGTTAAGATTTTAATAGTTTACATGACTTTTCCAAATCACACTTTACAATTAGCCTTCCTCATATATCCAGGTTTTCCAAGACTGTAGTGGGTATCCTGGTTTTTCAAAGACAAAAACGTAGAAATGAAATGAAATGAAGCAATATCTTAAAAACACAAATGGAAATACTGAATTGGGTTGTAACAAAAAAATTAAACAAATCAAAATAATCCTATATTTGAGTCTGAGTCACCTCACTTTAGATCACAGCTCTGCACACTCTCAGGATTTCTAAACATTTAAAAACTTTTCTGAACTTATAATTTTTATAATGTAGGTACAATTTATATTTGTCAACAGAACTAATTTGAGCATGGGCCTTTTTGAGCAGCAGTTTTTTAAGATTATGAAAAATAATCAAATGTGTCCATACGTTTGATGGTAGTGTATAATAAAACATGGTAGTGTAGTGTAAATAAAGCTGATAAACCATATGCATTAAACTCACTGGGTGAACATATCTGGAGTATTTTTCGACCCAGGGCATCTCTCCAGTAGCCGTCATGTGCACAGGTATACACGTCTAATTTCAGAGAGAAAAAGATTAAGGCTCCTCCATACTGTAAACCTCCAGTGATGATGGATCTGTTGTACAATGTATTGCTATTCAAACACCACAACTTGCCCATTACCATTAGTTCCTTCCTTCATTGTGTAGAATTCATTGCATGAATACTTGAGCACAGATTTATATGTGGTTGTGGTGAATTTCACACTTGCATTACACACTTCTACAGGATCTCCACAATCAACAACTGCAAAAGAGGGATATTTGGTCACTGACACGGTTTATAGACACAACAAATGACAATGTTGGTGAAGCTTAAGCATATCAGTATTTTAACTTGAATGTCAGGTCAAGTTAAAAAAACAAAACAATTCTGGTCAAATTCTGTTTACTGTTAATTTTTGTTACTTTCATTTTGAGTTTAATGTATTTTTTTTTTTTTTTTTAAGTATTTCAATTATTTATGTTTGTTCTTTCCTCACATTTGAACACTTTTAACCTTGTACACTAAAAGATATGGAAGCGTTTTATGTTGATCGTTGCATTGAAAATGTTCAGCTGGTTCAACTAAAAGACATTCAGTTCACGTAACTGAGCCAAAATTGAGAATTTGCAATGCAGCATGTCAACATAACATTTTGAATTTTGACATCCAAAATATTTTAAAAGTGATCTATTAGTCCTATACCAGTTGTTTTTGCATACTCCTTTGTTTTTATGAATATTTAATTTCATCATCAATGTTTAAGCACATTTTCCCCTGCAAAATAAGTTACTTAAAAAAGAAGCTAATTTAAATACATACATACATACATAATTCACACCTAAAAAATTTTTACCAATGAGGTAAGAAAAACAATTTCTCTAAAAACAAGTCACATAACTTTGTTTCAGAAGTATTGTTTTTAATTTACTTGCATGATTAGGTTTTTCATGCAAAAATGAAGAAAGGTATTATTATTGTAGTGTTAAAGGGTTAGTTCACCCAAAAACGAAAATTAGCCCACAAATTACTCACCCTAAAGTCATCCTAAAGTCATCCTAGGAGCCGTGTGAGACACTTTTTTTTATGGATGGGCGCTTTTTATTGAACTTCTTTTGGACTAATACATGCAACACCCGCTGAGTGGCATTAAACAGCTTGAAAGATCAAAGACAATTTTTACTGTCTCTCAGAGAGCGGCTCGGGAGGGGGGGGGGGGGGGGGGGGAGCTAAACTGAAAGACTGCAGCTATAACAAGCTGTTAAACGCCATAAAAAGGGATTGGATTTAGCCATTAAGATCAAATGAGCTTTGATGCAGAGTATAGAAATCAGTGCTGAACGCAAACACTCTTAAACACTTATAATGCTTATTTTCATGGAGAGCCAATCTTATGTGTGTAAACCACTCTAAAATCAATCTTTCTTAAAACCTAACAAGGACACTAGAAGGCATATTATATCTCTCTTCAAACAGTACATGTACTGTAAACAATCTTCCTTAAGATAGAATATAGCTCAGTATATATATACACGACTCTTTGTGGGGATTCTATGACACATATAAAATATTTTATTACATTCAATACACATTAATGAGCTAACTGTCTTATAGATCTTTTTTTTGTTTGTAGTTATTCTGTGCTTTAATAGTTGTATTATGTTAAAAATCTGGGTATTTTTATGGTGGGGGTCACACAAAAATCACACTATTAAATTTTTTTAAAATAGCTAATCTTTAGCATGAATACTTCACAGACGTTACAAAAAAGCATGAGAACATATGATTGTATTTAATTATGTTAACTGTATTAAACAACCATTCTTAACAATTGTCTTATAAACTGTAAATATTAACAGTATTTTTGTAACATTTAACTTTTTTTTTTTTACATTTTAAACAGAAAAGGTGAAAAGCAATTGTTCTGCATGCTTTCCTGGAGGTCAGAAATGATCATTTTAGGTCCATGCAGCTGCCTTTAACAATCAATTTAAATTGACTCACAAACATCATAATATAATTTTTTTTTACACATATTCCACAACACATCAGCGTTTTGACACTTTTCAGGCATGTTCAAAAAGTCACAAAATGTCAAGAAAATCATATTTTTCAATGACTCAAACAATTAGTCAAACTGATCCACACCATAACACACAGATAGTTCATCCAAAAATGAAAAATTCTGTCATTCATGTTGTTCCAAACATGTTTCCAACAACATTGGAATGTGAACTGTTCCATATAATCTAAACAAAACCATGTAATGTGTGTCTTTAAATTCTTCTCATAAAGCTTGGTTAACTCTTCAATCCCTGTTTTATCAGGCAGACGTATAGAGCGTTCCCAAAGGACCCCATAAAGTGACTCACACATGTGCACACACATACTATTACGGCTGTTGTTTAAAGTTTGAACTACCATCTTAGCTAGAGTGCTGTCAGTGCTTGTTGATTGTGAAATAACCAACCTTGAGGATGTCATAAGGGCACTGGATTTCAGGATGAGCCTCCACATCAAATATGTCCTGGAAGTCGAGGGTCACTTGGAAGCCTTCCATCAAACTGATAGTGTAATCACACTGGCTCATCTTGGGGGTATTAAACAACCATTCTTAACAATTGTCTTATAAACTGTAAATATTAACAGTATTTTTGTAACATTTAACTTTTTTTTTTTTACATTTTAAACAGAAAAGGTGAAAAGCAATTGTTCTGCATGCTTTCCTGGAGGTCAGAAATGATCATTTTAGGTCCATGCAGCTGCCTTTAACAATCAATTTAAATTGACTCACAAACATCATAATATAATTTTTTTTTACACATATTCCACAACACATCAGCGTTTTGACACTTTTCAGGCATGTTCAAAAAGTCACAAAATGTCAAGAAAATCATATTTTTCAATGACTCAAACAATTAGTCAAACTGATCCACACCATAACACACAGATAGTTCATCCAAAAATGAAAAATTCTGTCATTCATGTTGTTCCAAACATGTTTCCAACAACATTGGAATGTGAACTGTTCCATATAATCTAAACAAAACCATGTAATGTGTGTCTTTAAATTCTTCTCATAAAGCTTGGTTAACTCTTCAATCCCTGTTTTATCATGCAGAGGTATAGAGCGTTCCCAAAGGACCCCATTAAAGTGACTCACACATGTGCACACACATACTATTACGGCTGTTGTTTAAAGTTTGAACTACCATCTTAGCTAGAGTGCTGTCAGTGCTTGTTGATTGTGAAATAACCAACCTTGAGGATGTCATAAGGGCACTGGATTTCAGGATGAGCCTCCACATCAAATATGTCCTGGAAGTCGAGGGTCACTTGGAAGCCTTCCATCAAACTGATAGTGTAATCACACTGGCTCATCTTGGGGTAAACACCTGGGTACTCTGGACTGCTCAGTTCTCCTGACCTCTCCTGAAACACCTGCCCACTACACTCAGCTACAGTGGAAAAAATGCATTTTCACACCCACTGGGAACTGTCAAAAGCACACACACATACGGTTAACAGACAACTATCCATGCCACATTTAACACTGAGGGCCGCAGGAAATTGCAACATTGATTTGGGATGCTCAGAAGTAAATAAACCTTTCCACCTGTAAAATTGCCAGAGAAATGGCTTTTCGTCACTACTTTCAGAGTGACTTTCATGAACAGTTCAAACATTAGATGTGTGGCAGTTAGATACTTTGGCAAATACAAACGTTTAAAAACAGTTGCCAGATAGAAATAGTCACTGCAGTGCAATTTTCAGGTATAAATTCAGGTTGCTATTATTTTAGCATTTATGCTGTTGGAATGAATGAGTGATGTGTGACAAGACAGCAAATAAATGAACATCTTTACTCAAACCTTAACAACTTTAGATGCAAGAATTGCAAGAGGCCTCAGATTATTGCTGTTTATATTCACTGCATTATATTACCAACTAAACTGTGTATTATCAGATGTATTCAGGACTCATGCTATGATAAATTTATGATTAAAAACTCTATTGGTAGTTAATTAAATTTCAGATAGATTAACAAGACATGCATATTCAATTGTTTATTTGTGAGCACAGTGCTTCAATAAATATAGGAATAGTTCACCCCAAAATGAAAATTCCATCATCAAAATCAGGTTGCTGCAAACCTATTTGACTGACTTTCTTTCACGGAACACAAAAGAAGACATTTTGAAAACATTCTTGTTTGCTCTTTTCCATGCCATTAAAATTGATGGGGATTGGAGCTTTTAAGCTTTATATATTTATTGTTGCATTTATGCATTTGGCAGATGCTTTTATCCAAAGCAACTTACTCTGGATTCAAGGTACATGTTTATGCTCTACTGTTTAAACTACAGGATGGCTTTAAAGGATGCAAAAGTACAGTAAAAGTTTCAAAAGAATAATTTATTATAAAAGCAACATTTACTAAAACACTATTATTCATGGAAACTCTTGACATACACCAAAGCAAATTCATGAAAGAAGCAGTTATGGCTGATTCAGGAACAAATTGATCTTTTGATTTAAATCTTTTAAACAAATCAGCTGATTCAGTCTGAATGAATCACTCAAGAATTGGCTCAATGATCCAATAGTAGCAGTTCTCAAGTAAACAGCTTACCGGATGGAAAGATTTTCAGTGAATATTTCTCACACAAAGCTATCAAATGACTTCAGAAGAACTTGGAATATCGCATGAATCACATTTAGATCAAATGTATCCTTCTGTGATCCACTAAAGAGAGAAAGCCATACAGGTTTGGAAGATTGAGATTGAGTATACGATGACAGAATTTTTTTTTTGGCCAAACTATTAATTTAATAAATGGACCCCAACAAGTGCAGATGCTACAAATAATTGCTATAAATGGGGGATTTCAGCTGAGTAGTGCAAAGGTCTACTAATTCACATGATTAAATGATTCAGACACAAGTCATTGTTTCTGTCTTCCCTTCTGCGCAATATGATGTGATGTCTCTATCTTCCTCATTAGCAAAGTAAAACAATTAAGAGGCAAGTCTAGGCTGGTAATTGTGATTAATTACCCACCATTAGCACAGTATACAGCTCGAAACAGGTATCAATTTTCAACTGATCCCTATAATACTGTTCCCTCAGGAACCAATGGTAATTAACCTGGACTCGCTTAGAGTGACAGAGATCAACTGCTTTATACAGGCAGACTAGCGAGACGCTGCCCACTGTATCATCAGTCTGTTGCTGAAGCACACTTCAGGCTAAATCCAGTTAGTGCTGTCCAGAACCACAGTAAACATTAGCACTTTAAATGAGAGGAAGTTTTAGGGACTAATCCATTTCTGCCAAAAGTTTTCACTACCTGAGGGGAAGTCGAAAATGTAAATTTGTCTATTCGAAACCCTACACAAACCTCGCTTAGCCTATATCGAAAAATGCCATGCTGTTAGTTGCAGCCACCCTATTAATGATATAACAAACCTCTATTTGGCGACTCTATTTCCTGCTCGATTATAGGCTATGCTAGCTCAATCAAGAGCTGTTGACAGGGCTGATAGATAGTGTGTGGTGAGCCGTGGCTGCCCAGCCTGCTGCTGTGACCGCCGTTTCAACAGCTCTGTGATGCACAAGAGTCACTACTGGAGAATATATCAGTATTGAGTTGTATGACAATATTTCCTTAAAATATTATGGTTTGTTAAGAACTTACACAGCTAGAAGTTGTGCTTCTTCAGAATAAACATGATAATGTATTATTATAGATAGGATTACAGACAAAGAGACAGTCTGTTGCTCATATATGCATTTGTTAATGGATATAAATCAAGATCAGTGATAAAAGTATTATAATAAATTGTCACCAATTTAATTAAATTGTGATTATAATAATACGTTTTATTTTTAAAGCGCTTTTCCAAAAGCCCAAGGTCGCTTCACAAAAATTATGCTTTAAAAAGTCTCATGTTTTTCTAAATCCTTCCCATTTCCTTTGTTCTGTGGAACACACTAAATATATAGTGTATATTTACGGAACACGATCGCGAATTGACCGAGGGGGGCCATGCTCCCTACCTCGCACCAGACCCCGCGTCAGTTAAGGACGGCCCTGATTTTAAAGTTCTTCTTTTGTGTTCAGAAATAAAGTCATACTAGTTTGGAACAAAACGTGGGTGATTAAATGATGACAAAATTGTGAACTATCCCTTTAAGAGAGCTTTTAGTTGCACAATCAAAGAGTTTTTATGAATCAGGTAACCAGTAATGGAATCTATGCACAATCACTTTTGTGTTTAGCTTCATTGGCCACCACAATTTCTGATGCAGCACAAGGGCATGGAAACTGTGAGAAAATGAACACAAAATTAAATCTTAAAATGTGAAAAGACAGGACAAAAACAACTATTATATTGTTTTTTATATTGGTATTGGTATTGATATTGGTATTTAAAGCTCTTACATAAATGTTATGGTTTATAATATATAATAATATAATGTAATTATTTGTGATAGACAGCTAATAGAAATATGATGGAAATAGTTTGCTACTACCACAGTTTACTATGTGAGAATACAACAGTTGTAGCGGAAATACATAGGCAGTCAGCATGCATAGAATCCATTGATGGTCTATCAAAAAACAAAAAGCAATTTTTACTGTGTCTCAGTGCTTAACATGCTATTTATAGTGCATTTATAGTAACTAGCTTTTTTGTGAAAATTAACATGTACAACATATTACATAATGTCCAATACATTTTATAATCAATGAACAGAAAATCTACAGGCCAGGGGTTTCATCTGTTCTGGTATCTGGTATCTTACCAGGGCAGTGTCTTTTATCATCGTGGAGTTGGTATCCCAATCTGCAAGTGCAGTAAAAGCCCCCCACATAATTATGGCAATTATGGTCACACACAGGCTCTCCATCCACAGTGCTCAGGCACTCATCAATGTCTGTAGAGAGTAAAAAGAGGCCGTTTAGCAACAGTTCTCACTTATATGGATTTGGGCTTCCACTAAGATTAACACATAAATTGTTATGATAAAATGGTGTGTGTGTGTGTGTGTGTGTGTGTATATATATAAATATATATATATATATATATATATATATATATATATATTTATAATCTATTTAATTTTAGAATATACAATATTATAAACATTATAAAAAGTAAATATTAGATTTTTTTATATCATATTACATTTATTTATTTTATATCTAGTTTAAACCTTAGCCTTTACAGCAAGAGGTGACTGCAAATGAGAGGAACAATCATGCCGTGAGAGAGACAGTCATGCTGTAAATCCATTGTTTCCATCACCTTCAGCGGAAAAAAATGCCTGGAAGCCTGTGAATCGGTCCTCGTTGGAGTAATCTGATCTGAAGAGCACGGACATGGTGTTGGTGGCAGAATAGATGATGGTGTTTTTGGGCGCATCACCGTAATTTTTCTCTGCCTCACCACAGAACCGGACTGTGTCATTTCCTTCTGAGAACACCTGGAAAGTTTCAGCAAGTAGTACTTATCACAAGCACAAATTGGTATCCTGTATTTCATATAACAAGCATGCTAGGAACTTCATTAGGAACTATGCAGCAGTCATATTGTGCATTTCATTTCATGATAAAGAGGTTAAATCAAATGTTTAACATGAGTATTCTGATATAATCTGGCAAATGGTGCAGGTTATTGATAAAGCTCTAATCTTAAATTTACATTATACCACCTTTGTGAACTTATGGATAAAGAAAATATACATATTAACATAAAAAATACAAGCTGATTTTGAAATGATTGTAGGCTCTTAGGGGGAATTATTTTAATCTGAAAAGGACTGAGCATTACTAATAAGGTTAAACCTTGTTGACATTTCAATCAATCATCTAACAGATTCCGGATTGAAGTCTGACTTGGATTTGCATGGGCAAAGAATACAGCAGTTCTCTTTATTCCATTCCAAGACATCTCCCAAATTCTTTTTAAAGAACATTTATTATAAGTAATTATTTTTATTTAAGTATATCTAATTAAATTATAAAATTATAATTAAATTATATAAATATAAAAAATTGAATATGAATATAATAGAAGCTTGATGGCATTGATTGCAGATTCACTTATGATTTAATTGAATTACTATCCGAGATATCCTGAAATATAAAGTCTAATCTTTAAATCTTCAATCTAATGCACTTTGATATGTATATATTCCCCCATAAAATTACCCCATGTTTTAAGGTCTGTTGAAGCTATGGATCTAACCTGAACGTAGTCATATTCGCAGCGATGAGAAGGCTCCAGGCTAAAATATGTGAAGTAGAGGCGTAATCTGTGTCCCTCTGGTCCTGTGATATTCCACACCATACGCTGGTTGTTAGGATAGACATTTGGGAAGTTTGGTGAGGTGAAGTTTCCAAATAGTCCTGTCAGCTGTGAGCCAAATGCTAATGGAAGTAGGGTGACGAATGCCAAAGATACTCTAAAACAGCAGCAAAACAAAAAGGTGATAACGTATTAAAGCTTTCACAATCCCAACACATTAAACCGAAATATGTGGGGAACTGTTCCCACTCCACAGTGAACACATTCGAACACTTTGCATACCTGTTCATTATTCCAGAACGCCACAAACTTCAGTTCATCTCACAACAAATGTCCTAATCACCTCTGCAGAACTCTAATGTCCTCCAGGTTAATGAACTAGCTGAATAAATGGCTCTGTGCAAACACAGCACTGAAATGCAACAGTGCTTTTGGTTTTCATCACTGTCTACTCTGTCAAATGTCAGTATCAACTATTGAATTAAAGACATATCAGTAGAGAAGTTAACCTTTGTCATCATGCTTGACATCTCCTTTATTCTCCTTAAAAACTACATTTACAATACAACATACAAAAAAAAGAAAGCAGTAATCACATTTACATTTGATTAATTAAACATTTGATTAATCCTGGCATTTATGTTGACTATAAAAGTCAGAATTAACTTACAGTAAATGAAAGCAACTGACAGCAAATTAACTCTTGTTTTTGCAATGTGTCCTTCTGACCAGTCGTCAATAATTGATTTTTGTGTGTGTGTGTGTGTGTGTGTGTGTGTGTGTGTATACATGCAGGTACAACTTCGGTTTGTAGGAAAAAAAGTGTTTGTTTCAAAAGTGTATGTTTATTTAAATATACAGAGGGGTCCAAAGTCTGATACCACATGAAAAATGCAACTTAAATAAAATTAAAGATTTTAAAAGTGGTTAAACAAAGGTCTCTAATCAGATAAATCAAGTAAATTTGTGACACTGAGCATGTGGACTAAAATCATTTAATTAAGCTTTTCACTTTTCAAATTACTATGCTAATAATATCATATATA